TCTCACTGCAGCATTTTGGACTAACTGGAGGTTTTTCATGGACCTTTTAGAATAACCTGATGATAATGAATTCCCATAGTCGTAGAAGTAAGTAAAAAGCCAACGTCACTACAAGAGGTGATGTATGTAATTAACATTTTCTGATAAGGTCAACCAGATTAAACTTAAAAATATCATCATAATTTACATGATTAACTGAATTAATATTTTCTTTGTACTCCCTTACACTACAGCATTATGCTCTATATTGAATGTTCTACACTCTCTGATGAGTGGGAAATTATAAAAGCATATTTCTTACCAGAATCCACCCCCATAATGAGTCGTCCAATGATGAGCATCTCAAAAGATCTTGACATTTCACCCAGAGACAGAAGCACAGCAGCTATTACAGCAAAGCTGTTATTCAGCAGCAAGGTCCCCTTTCTAAAGTCAGTAAGAAAAATACATGAAAAAAATGTAAAAATTAACTAAATGTAACTCATTAAATTCAATTTCTATAGTGCTTCACCTGGGATGAAAAGAACTTCACCTAACAAAAAGCTAGCAGAGCAAGAACTATCAGAGATAGGCGAGTTTTAAAAAGCTAACATCATGGAATAGCTGAATAACTTTTTATAGTTTCAAAGGAATACATTTGAGGCCATCACAACAGAAAGATCAGTTCTGTAATGGAGGTTTCTTACGCTACGCTCAATCTGAAACTATTTCATTATCCCTAGTTGCTAGTATTCTATAAAAATTAACCCAAGCTCCCAGAAGCACCAAGTCAGTGGGAACTGTTCCTCTTCTTGACAAGTAACAATCAGTTCTCAATCACTTATTATATAACAGAATTTAGTGCGGCCTCTAGCCATGCAGGACACGATTACACCAGGTCGCATCAGCTGTCACAACTGACCCCCGTTTCAAAGAGCATCTGTCTGTCCTGCCTGCTGAACCTCTTCTGTTGTCCAACTGTTCTGGTTTCCAGCCTTTGTCTTGACCTCATCTCTTCTTTGGTCTTCCTACCTGTTCCCTGCTGTATCAGGTCCTGCCTCCTGACCTGCCTCCTGTGAGTCCTGGAGTAGTCTCTTTTTAATCCCCCGTCTGCAGCACCTGGGCAGCACTGTTTATCTGCCTTGCCACCAGGCCACCCAACATCTCTGGTTCCCTTGTTCTCCAGCATCGGGCCATTTGCGTGTGATCTCCAGCTCATCTGCGTACTTTTACTTTACCAGCCTTTGTTGACCAAGTTGCTTTTTTTCTTCAGCATGCCTGTCTGCCGTGTGTGCGCATTCAGGTCTTGTCTGAACTGTACTTTTTTTAATGTCAGGGGTCAAAGAAAAATGTTTTCTTCCTATTGATTTTTGCT